GATCTTGAACCATGTTGTACTAGTCTGTTTAGATAGTTTGTGCAAACAGTGTGACTGAAGGTGAATACCTGCTTTCCTTTGAAGGCTCTGGAACTTCAGTAATTGTGGTTAGTCACACAGGTACCACGCCTAAGAGACAAGCGTCCACATAAAAGCCCCGGAATCCTGGACTCAGGTGTCCAAGTAGAAAACAATGGCCACGTGACACAGTATGTCAGAAGAGCAAGCATCCAAACCAGACTCAGATATGGCAGGAATGTTGGAATTATCAAACCAGGAACTGAAAACAACTATGATTAACATACTAAGGATACTAATGAAAGATGTGGATAACAAAGAAGAACGGATGAATACTTTAAGTGGAGCGATGGAAACTCCAAGAAAGAATCGAAGTGTTCCAAATGAAAAACAAGGTGTCAGAAATGAAGAATGCTTTTGATGGGCTCATCCAGTAGGCTGGAATGGCTGTGAAAAGATTCTGTAAGCTTGAAAATGTATCAATAGAGCAGGCCGGGGTGGCTCATGCCTATAATCCCAACACTTTTGGAAGCCAAAATGGGCAGATCACTTGAGGTCAGGAGTTCAAGATCAGATTGGCCAACATGGTGAATCCCGTCTCTACTAAAAATGCGCCACTGCAGAGCAAGGGAATGTGGTCCCACTGTGTTCAGGAACCCACAGCTGTTTCCATATGCTTGCCATCCTCAGTTTGACCTCTAGGAGGCTAGAGACTGAGTAGCTAAGGTCAGCCACACAGGCGCTGCTTGCTTATGTGACCCACCCCCAATAAAAATGCTGGTAACGAAGGCTCAGTTGATTGGCCCTGGAGGAGCAACCCTTTGCACACGTTGTCATATACTGTTACTGAGAGACTTCAGTGCATCCCCAGGTGACCCCACTGGGAAGGAACATTTTGACATGTGTGCCTAGCTTCTCCTAGACTTTGCTCTAGGCACTTCTTCCCTTTGATGATTTTTTTTTTCTTTTTTTGAGATGCAGTCTCGCTCTGTTGCCAGGCTGGAGTGCAGTGGCACGATCTCGGCTCACTGCAATTTCTGCCTCCTGGGTTCAAGCTATTCTCCTGCCTCAGCCACCTGAGTAGCTGGGACTACAGGTGCATGCCACCACACCCAGCTATTCTTTATATTTTTAGTAGAGATGGGGTTTCACCACGTTGGCCGAGATGGTCTCGATCTCCTGACCTCGAGATCCCCCTGCCTTGGCCTCCCAAAGTGCTGGGACTACGCTACAGACATGAGCCACCACCTCGGCCCCCTTTGATGATTTTAATCTGTATCCTTTCACTGTAATCAATTAACAGTGAGGATAATAGCTTTTTTGAGTTCTATGAATCCTTTGAGCAAATCACTGTGCCAAAGGGTGGTCTTGGGGAATTTCCCAAACAATAAGAAAGTCTACCAGGCACTTTGTAAGCATCTGCAGTCACTGCCAAGTGCTGAGAAACCATTAGAAAGTTTCAAGATATTTAAACAATGCTATTACATGTACCAATCTCTGACTGCTCTTTCCATATAAGGACTGAGGTGAAAAAACGATTAGATAAGAACAAGCTCTTTCATCACAAACTGAGGCATATCTGGTTATGGCAATATTTAAGTGACTTTCTAGGACATCCTGTTAGCCAGTGGATAATACTAAAATAGAATGTTTAAACAGTAACAGAAACAAGCTGACAATAATCAGATAGAAAACAGTAAAATACACAAGGGAGATCTCATAATTGAAGGCATACCTTTATTTCCTTTATGCTGGAAAGCGGTGCATTTAGAAACTCCTCAGTTAATCTCTTCCAACTAGCAGCTTTGCTTAGATCAGAATGAACGACAAATTTTTCATAAATTCTAAAATGTAAAACAAATTATTATAAAGCTATCTTAAAAAGATCTATAAGAAAATACAGGCCGGGCGCAGTGGCTCACACCTGTAATCCCAGCACTTTGGGAGGCCGAGGTGGGTGGATCACAAGGTCAGGAGATCCAGATCATCCTGGTCAACCTGGTGAAACCCCATCTCTACTAAAAATACAAAAATTAGCTGGGCATGGGGGTGTATGCCTGTAATCCCAGATACTTGGGAGGCTGAAGCAGGAGAATCCCTTGAACCAGGGAGTGGGAGGTTGCAGTGAGCCGAGATTGAATGCCACTGCACTTCAGCCTGGTGACAGAGTGAGGCTCTATCTCAAAAAAAGAAAATACATATATTTCTGAATGTATACATATATACACTGACTTACCCTTCAATTGTCTTTTCTATTTTGTGGCTGTTGACATCCAAGAAACGATGAAATCTAATAAAGACAAAATGTAGCTCTTATGCCAACTCGTCACATAGGTAAGTGAATTCATTTCATGGCCCTCCGCATCGCCCATAAGCCCTGTACTCAGCTACACATTTTCAGAATGGAGTGTACCTCGTCCTCCGTTACCTTCACCATCAGGCAGGCAAATAAGCCTCGGGTCCAGGACTATGCAAGCATCCTTTCCTCAGCACACAAATGCTTCCTGAGCCTCCCAACCTTGTTCTCTGGCTCCTCTATCTTCCCATAAGGCCCCGTATCTAAGTCCAGCAGAACACATTCTACAACAAGTGTTCCCAATCTTTCTACGTCATAGTGAGGCCCAGTGAAGCATAAGGACCCCTTCTCTGAATAACGTTTTTAAATGCCAAAAAAGAAATACAAAGGAATCCGATTATACTGAGATAAGTTGTCAAATATTTCAGTAAGTTTATGGCAAGAAATGTTATTTATGAAAGCATTAAATAACAACATTTAGCAGTAGGTCCAATAACCATTAAAATAACAGTAAACAACATTTACAAACATCTACGACTCTTACTATAATGCGAAAACAGTATGCGATTTCTACTGGTAATAAAAGTCATAGGTAGTCTAATACTACTAGGATTTTCTGCCTTCATTCATAATGGAAGGAGATGCTACTTTTCAGTTAGAGATTAGTAGAATATTTTCCTCATCCAAATTGACAAATTTCTGAATTATAAAAGTCCCTATCATATAATATACTGTGATTAACTTTTGTCTCTTTCTTAAAGACGGAGGCTATATCTTACTCATCTTTGAATTTCTAGGGCCTAGAATTCCAAATGGCCACAATTTAAAAAAATGTAAACATGTACTATTCATTTTTCTGATGCTTTAAAGCATCATAAAATTAGAGCATAGCCTATGCAACTAATGTATATGTATACAGCATAGCCTATGCAAAAAACGTTTTGCCTTTTAGTATCACAGCCAGCAATCTGTACTCAAAAGAAATACAATTTCACTACTGAAAACAACATCTGATTCTATTCCAATAAATGGCTAAATGGAACACCACTTTACCTATGATTTCTTTCCTGAAATCTGTGAAAGTAAATACTAACCTCTAAGGTCACTTCCAGCTCTAAAATGATGAACATCTGCTGCTGTCATTTACATATATTAATAGAAAAATAACTTGGGATTCAGCATTTACATTTCTGTATTGTATAACCTATTTCGCACACTGTTTATTTTTATAAGTTACAGTTAAGAATTCAGTTATTACTTCGGAAACTTGGCATGCTTTAAAAGAATCTGAAAGCCCTGTATTCCTACTACGAACCAACTAACTAGATACTTTACCGGCTGTGATCGTTAAGGTAACTAAGATCACAGGTTTTGAAAACCTAATCATTATTCAAGAAGATTTTTACTGAAATTAAACAGGTACGACATGAACATTCTTTCAGTAATAATTTCATTATGAGTAACGAACTAAAGTATTGTTTAATTTACATCTCCCATAAAGAAAAACAGGAGATCTCAATCCATCTAAATATCTAAACTCTGTAAGTCTCTAAAAATTAGTTACAAGAGGCCGGGCTTGGTGCTCACGCTTGCTATCCCAGCACTTTGGGAGGCCAAGGGGTGGGGGGGCAGATCACGAAGTCAGGAGATTGAGACAATCCTGGCTAACATGGTGAAATCCCGTGTCTAAAAAAAAAAAAAAAAAAAATAGCGTAGGGTGGTGGCATGCACCTTGGGGAGGCTGAGGCAGGAGAATCGCTTGAACCCGGGAGGCCGAGGTTGCAGTGAGCAGTGATCACGCCACTGCACTCCAGCCTGGGCTACAAAAACAAAACAAAACATAACAAAAACCAACCAACCAAACAAGAAATTAGTTACAAGAGAAACTGCATTAGCAATGGTATTAGGTGACTTAGCGTGCTACGTGCCAGGAGCTGTGCAGGGATGCAGCATTCTAGCTGGAGTGCAAGCAGAGGAGACAGTAATGACAGGTTACATCAGTGTCCTAACACGCGTTTTTGAAAAAGGAAAGCAGAGTGAGAGGGAGCTTGTACTGGCTGACGAGAGAACAGAAATCAGTGAGAATACAATCTCTTTACTTAAAAAGAAAAAACTATATAGAGATGGAGTTGCTACGTTGCCCAGTCTGGCCTCGAGTTCCGCCTGGGCCTCCCACAGCGCTGGGGTTGCAGGCGCGCGTCCCGCCCTGCAAGAACCCAGTTCCACGCTTCCCCCGTGACTATCAGGAGAGCCTGGCCGGCGTGGAGCTGGCGGCGGCAGGGCCTGAGAGGGCTCCACTAGGCCGCGCCCGCCTCCGCCCCCGCTCCGCCCCGGCGCGTCCAGTTCCCGGTTCCGCGGGACCCAAGCGCGGGATCCGGGCTGGGGCCTAGAACCCGCCCCCGCGCCGCGCCCCACACCTAAAGTTGGACCAGGCGAAATTTAGGGCGAGCTGGAAGTTGGGGTCTGTCTCGTCCTGGAGGCCCGCGACACTGCGGATGAGCTCCCGCACGTCGCGCTCCTGCTGCGCGTCCAGCCGGCTCCAAGGATGTCCATGCAGCGCCATGCTCCGCCATGCTCCGCGCTCCCGCAGCGCGCGTCTAGCCACTTGGCGGCTGTTCCCGCGAGAGTTCGGGCTCTCGCGACAGTAGCTTTCTGAGCTGGCGGTTTTCTCGCGATAGTTCGAGCTCTCGTGCCGGGCATCTAGAGAACTGGCAGCTGTTCTCATGGCAGTTCGCGCTCCCGCTCTCGCGGCTACGGCTTGGCGCTGTTCCTTGGCTGGGGCTGGAGTGTACATTTCCTGGTTGCGCGACGGTACGTTTTCCATTGTACTCAGCCGGTGTCATCGTGTCATATATAAGGATCTCTGGTCAGCCTCGGTGATGATCAGTGACCCTGAGAGCAGCCCGTTAGGTGCCCGGTCAGCATACGTATTGGGACCCGCCTTTCCAGGAACCCTGACCTGCTTAGCTGCTGAACCCTCCTGGCGCTGCAGCTTCTCCCTCCAGTGATGATCTCTGCGGATCTCGGTGCCCCATCCACACAACACAACCAGCATCGGCGTAGCAGCTGTCCCGACCCGCTAGCAACCCCAGTTAGCTCCTGCTCCTCCTGCTCCGCAGGGACGGCCAGGGGGACTTCATAACCCCATCCGTCCAGAGGTGCGGGGGACTTCATAACCCCACTGGCCAGAGGTGATGGGAGGACTTCATAACCCCCCCGGCCAGAGGTGATGGGAGGACTTCATAACCCCCCCGGCCAGAGGTGCTGGGGAACATCATAACCCCCCCGGCCAGAGGTGCTGGGGGACATCATAACCCCCTCGGCCAGAGGTGCTGGGGGACATCATAACCCCACGTGGCCAGATGTGCTGCGGGGGGACTTCATATTTGTCACCTGGCCAGAGGTGCTAGGAAGATTGCATAATCCTCAGCTGGCCAGAGGCGCAACACCGTTTTTGTTGTCATCAAAGCTGTACCTCTTCAGTGACAATTTTAACTATTGCGTTAAGCAAACCCTCCCCCAAACCCATAACAAATCCCTCTTTATGGTTTTCATGTGATTTATTATCTTGCATTAGTGTGGTAATAGTCGACAACATCTAAAACATAGACAGCATGCTACTGCACACATCTCCTTAGGAGGAGAAAATCACAGCATTAGAGATTATTCGACTGAAGGGAAGTCATACTCTGCCTAGGCAGCCTTTTCGCCTCCAGTTTCAGCTCTCGTCTTTATGCTGGTTTCCCATACCTGTACGTGCAGCTCATATTTTTCTTGACGCACCAAATCCATAATCTAATCGATGACTGTACATCTCCAAGAATCAAAGTGAGCGTATATATGCATATATATGTGTTTGCTTATTGTCTGTTTCACCCATTAGCTCCGTAAGAGTCTTCCAGCTGATGCCACTGCCACTTATGATACCAGGATCATAACTGAGACTCAATAAATAATTAATGAAAGAATAAATTAATATCTATCGGGAAGGCCCAAACACTCAGCTAAATTATTCTCGTTTCCCTGTCAGCCTCTCTTCCCCAGTTTTCCATCTTGAGGTATATACTGCATATCCTACATCACCCAGCCAGAAACTCAGTGGTTGTAGTGAATTTCTCCTCCTGCCCATCTCCCTCACTCTTTCCTTTCAGGGATAAGGAATACCTTGATTCCTGAATCTTCTCTGAGGTGTACTCTCTCCTCCTCATTGCCTTACCTTAGTTCAGACTCCAGACTCCTGGGAGGCCTCCCAACTATTGCCTCTGACTCCAGTCCCTTAACACACCAGGTCATCCACCTCCACACAGTCAAAGCTGACAACATGCCTCCCCAGCCACTGCCCATGTCTTGACCTCAGTATTAACAACATTTGGGCTGGACAATCTGGTTGTGGAGGGCTGTCTCGTGCACCATGGGACATTTAGCAGCTTCCTTGGCCTCTACCCAGGAGATTCCAATAGCAACTCTCTCTATCTCCAGTTGTGACAGCCGAAATGTCTTCAAACATTGCCAGATGTCTTCTCGGAGTGCCAGAGGGAAGGTGCAAATTCACCCCCAATTAGAAACCACTGGCCTATCGGATAACTTTCCAACTCCAGAGCAGTAGGATTCAGGACTGTTTCTGAGCTTGCCTTCCAATCTGCTTCATCTTTTCCTATACAGTTCTGTACTGAAGAACTATAGAGAGTTCATTTCCATGGGTAAGAAGACTCAATATCATGACAAGCAGCAACTCTTTTCAGATTAATCAATGCAATTTCAATCTGCAAAACAGGCCCCGGACTATCTGCCCTTCTGATACCCCTTGGCCTCAAGTTCTTCTGGTTTCTTTTTTAGGTACTTGGAGAGATGATAAAGGGAGAAGGAAATGTCAGAGAAAAGGTCAGTGGCACTGGGGCAAGCCATGGCCTGAGCCCTGGCTCTGATATAGCACTTCTAGCCTCCAAGTGGTACTGAGGCTGCATGTGCTGTGACCCCAGTGAGTACTTCACGCTGAAAGCAGAAAGATGCCTCCCCGAAACACTTCTCATTTTCCCTCCAGTGACTGGGAGGCCTGGGGAGCAGGCCCTGGGTCCTGGCACAGTTCCACGTAAGGCCCTGGCTTTGCAAACACCTATCCCAGTGCTCCTGTTTACACTCTGAAGGCAGACTGCGAGTCAGAGGAAAGGACAAAGCTGTGGTCTTGCAAGGCCCCTGGTCATCCGTGTGCCTCCCACAAATGCTTCCAAGTTCTCCTCAAAGGGAAGGGACTGTATTCATCTGTTTCTCACACTGCTGCAAAGACATTCCAGAGAATGGGTAATGTATGAAGAAAAGAGGTTTATTTGGCTCACAGCTATGCAGGCTGTACAGGCATCTGCTTCTGTGGAGGCCTCAGGAAACTTACAATTGTGGTGGAAAGGCAAAGGGGAAGCAAGCTGTCTCACATGGTGGGAGCAAGAGGAAGAGAGAGAGGAGAAAGTGATGCATACTTTTAAACAAGCGGATCTTCTATCACAAGACAGCAATAAAGGGATGGTGCTAAATCATCAGAAACCACCCCCATGATTGAATTACCTTCCACCAGGCCCCACCTCCAAAACTGAGAATTGCAATTCAACATGAGATTTGGGAAGGGACACAAATCCAAACCATGTTAGGAAGATTGCCATGGGCCTGTCAGGAAGGCCTGGAAAGCACAGGGCCTGAAGGGTCAGGCCCTGGACCTGTGTGGGCCTGGTCATCAGCAGCGTCTCAAGAAAATGTTTCTTAGTTCTCCTGAGGAGGAGCGGGGCCCAAGCCAGTGAGGCCACCAAGGGAGAGTCCCAGGCCTAGCCATGGCCCTTGCTTCAGACACTCTTTCAGGCAGGGACCAGCCCATGACAGACATAAAGACTCCAGCAACATGTCTCAGGCCTGGCTGTGGCTGCCAGATGTGCCTTGAAGATGGACACTAGTCTGAGCCAGCAAAAGGCCTGAAGAGTGTGCTTATGAGGCAGCCATGACCTCACATGGGAAGTGGTCCTAGGAGGCACCCCCAGAGCTAACTTTCTAGGTCCCACTCCTATGATGGAGAGCCAGTGAGAACCAAGTGGTGGTCGGTTCTGCATGGGCTTGGTCATCCCATGCAAGGCCCCAAATATTTTCATGTCCTGCACCTGAAAAGGGGGCACTGCAGGCAAGCCAGGTCCACCCTGATACTACACCCCAGCCTTATCTGGTCCTGCATAGAGGCAAGTCATCTGAGGCAATGCCCAACAGTTTCCTAGGCTCTCTTTGATGGCAGAGACCGGTCTAGGATGGCCCAGGAGCACTGTGGAAGTCCCTTGGCCCGAGAAGGGTCAGGGGTAGGTCCTGGCCATCTGATTTACCTGTGGAAAATATTTCTGTTCTGTGGGTAGCACTGAGCAGGATGCCGTGAGATGGTGCCCCAGGTCCAAACACAGTCCTATGTGAGGTCTGGTCACTGGATGAGCCTCTTGAAATATTATCTAAGTCCCCCTCTGGAAACAAAGACTGTCTGGGAATGAAGAGGGAGACCCAGTGAAGACACCACCCTGGCCGTGTCCCAGGCATGGCTCAGTCACCAGATGCTCCTAAAATATTTTTCTATGTCTCTGGAATGGGTGGCCAGAGATTCCTGTGGGGGGTGTCAGTGTACTTGCCACTGGTCTAGAAAATGTTTCAAAGTCCAGCTCTGGGCTGTGGTGCCTACCCCTGTGTTGGTGGGGACTAGCTAGACTGAGAAGGCCCCTCAGGGTGCAGGCTCCAGGCTTGATCTATTTGGTCAATGCCTCTCCGTGATGATTTCTATTTCTCTCTGGAGATGGGGACATCTTGGCATGAACAGGAAGGCCCTGGGGATGCCAAGACTAGTTACATTGCTGCATAGAACCTGGTCCCTTTCAGTGGCAGGACTGGCCCATGCCACTGAAAGACCCAGCCTTGTGGGTCTGGTCAGGGCATGAATCTCCCTGAAACATTTCCAAGTAGGCCCCTGGAGTGGGAGCAGTGGGCTGACTAGAGGATCCCAGGGGAAGGCATCTGGCCTCCATCACGCAGAGTCCCAGTACTTGGTAAACTAGACCAACAAATCTATAAGTGTCCAGGGGTCAGGACCAGCACAATTTGAACAGGCCAGAGGAGGGCCCCTCAATCTTGCCACAGGTCCTCATGGGGCACAGATGGATATGTATCTTAAAGATGTTTCTGTCTCTCTGGCCGACAGTTCCATGGAGGGCCCTGGGGCTCTGTTGCATGATGTACCTCCAAGGGTTTTCTAAGTCTCCCACTGCAGGGGAAGCGAACCTAGCCAGGGGGCCCAAGTGGGCCCATGCTGCCCTTGCTGTTTAACATGTCTTCAGAAAACCTTTCCAACTCACCTGCCAAGGTTGACGGCAGCTGGAGCAACTCTTCATGCGCTGGGAGATTTCCAGGCCCACTGAGGTTTCTTGAGGGGCTGGTCCCTGCATATGCCTCCCAGAAAATGTCAAAGTATTTTCCTGAAAGAAGGGCTCTGCTTGGCTGGGCTTTGGAAGATGGGCTTTTAAAAATTGTCAAGATACTCATCCATGATCAGGCCCAGGCAGGTGCTGTCCTTTGGAGTGTGCCTAGAAAACACTTTAGGAGGTGCTTTGATAACTGAGTCCCACAAGGGAAGGCATTCAGTTGGTCAGGTATACCCAGGAAGGCCCCACCCTGGTGGGGAGGTGATAGAAATGTTTTAAGCAGGCACACGTGATGACCAGGCTGGACAAGGGCGCCGTCCTCAAGTCTCTCCCTAGCCCTGAGATCACTGTCCCCATATGGCCCTGCCACCAGTGGGGACAACTGTTGCACAGAGAGGCTGTTCTCTGCACTTCTGCACCTTGCACACATACTCCGGGTTACTCAGTCCCACAGCATATGCACGCCTTGCTCACCTATTCCACATCATGCTCACATGACTCCGTGCACACCCAGGTGTTCTATGCACATCTGCTATTATATTAATTATATATATTTTTTGTTTTTATTTTTATTGACAAATAATGATTGTATGTTTTTACGGGGTGAAGTGTGGTGTTTTGATATACGTGTACAGTACGGAATGATTATAGCAAGGCAATTAACATATCACCCATCACCTCACATATTGCTTTTGTGTGCAGTGAGAACATGTATTTATGTAAACATTTTTATGGATACATAATAATTGTACATATTTTTGGATTACATGCGGTATTTTGATGTAAGCATCCAATGTATAATAATCAAATCTGGGCAACTAGGATGTTCATCACTGGGAACATTTGTCATTTCTTTGTGTTGGGAACATTCTATGTCTTTTCTACCAGCTCCTTTGAAATATCCAATAATAAATTATTGTCAGCCACGGTTGCCTAGTTGGGCTACTCAATAGTAGACTTTTTTTTTTTTTTTGCCAATTAGTGTGGGCCTTGAATTCATGACCTTGCCATCGCAAGCACCAGGACGTCCGGCCGGAGCCACTTTGGACCCCTCAACAGTAGTCTTATTCTTACATAGAATTTTATCTTTGTACCCATTAACCAACCTCCTTCATAGCCCCTCTCTGCACTGCCCCTCACCGCCTCTGGTCAATGTCCTTCTATTTGCTACACCTGTGAGATCTTTTTTTTTTTTTTTTTTTTAAAGATCCCACATGTGAGTGAGAACATGCAGTATATGTCTTTCTGTGCCTGGCTTATTTCACTTAATATAATATCCTCCAGTTCCACCCAAGTTGCTGCAAATGACAAGATTTTAGTCTTTTATTTGGCTGAATAATACTTCATTGTGTATGTCTATCACTCTTTAAAATCCGTTCATCCACCGACGGACACTAAGGTTGATTCCATATCTTGGCTATTTTGAACAATGCTGTACAACCATGGGAATGCAGATATCTCTTCTACACTGATTACCCTTCTCTCGGCTATGTGCCCAGTAGTGGGATTGCTGAATCATATGGTAGCTCTATGTACAGAATCTTCATCCTGTTTTTCACAGTGGCTGTACTGATTTACATTCCCACCAAGAGCGCACAAATGTTCGCTTCTCTGCCTTCTCATCAGCATTTGTTATTTTCTGTGTTTTTAATAATAGCTATTCTAACAAGGCTGATAGAACATCTCATTGTGGTTTTGATTTGCATTTCTTTGATGATTAGGGATGTTGAGCATTTTAAAATATACCCGTTGGTCATTTGTATGTCTTCTTTTGAGATGTGTCTGTTCAAATCTTTTGCCTATTATTAAATCAGATTATTTGTTTTTTGTTATTGTTTGAGTTCTTTATATATTCCCGTGATTAATACAGTCAGATGAATAATTTGCAAACATTTTTTCCCCATTATTCTGTGTGTTGTTTTTTTATCTCTGCTGATTGTTTGCTTCGCTGTGCAGAAGTTTTTAGCTTGATGTTTTCCCATTTGGCAATTTTTGTTTTGGTTGCCTCTGCTTTTTTTTATATTTAATTTTTTATTTTTTATTGCGTTTTAGGTTTTGGGGTACATGTGCAGAACATGTAAGATAGTTACATAGGTACACACATGGCAGTGTGTTTTGCTGCCTTCTGCCCCCTCACCCACATTTGGCATTTCTCCCCATGCTATCCCTCCCCAGCTCTCCCCCCGCTGTCCCTCCCCTATTCCCTCCAATAGACCCCAGTGTGTAGTGCTCCCCTCCCTGTGTCCATGTGTCCTCATTGTTCATCACCCACCTATGAGTGAGAATATGCGGTAGTTCATTTTCTGTTCTTGTGTCAGTTTGCTGAGAATGGTGTTCTCCAGATTCATCCATGTCCCTACAAATGACACGAACTCATCATCTTTGATTGCTGCATAATATTCCATGGTGTATATGTGCCACATTTTCCCAATCCAGTCTGTCATCGATGGGCATTTGGGTTGGTTCCAGGTCTTTGTTATTGTAAACAGTGCTGCAATGAACATTCGTGTGCATGTGTCCTTACAGTAGAACGATTTATAGTCCTTTGGATATATACCCAGTAATGGGATTGCTGGGTCAAATGGAATTTCTACTTCTAGGTCCTTGAGGAATCGCCACACTGTATTCCACAATGGTTGAACTAATTTACACACCCACCAGCAGTGTAAAAGTGTTCCTATTTCTCCACATCCTCTCCAGCATCTGTTGTCTCCAGATTTTTTAATGATCGCCATTCTAACTGGCGTTGAGATGGTATCTCAATGTGGTTTTGATTTCCATCTCTCTGATGACCAGTGATGATGAGCATTTTTTCATATGTTTGTTGGCCTCATGTATGTCTTCTCTTGTAAAGTGTCTGTTCATATCCTTTGCCGATTTTTGGATGGGTTGTTTGTTTTTTCTTGTAAATCTGTTTGAGTTCTTTGTAGATTCTGGATATCAGCCCTTTGTCAGATGGGTAAACTGCAAAAATTTTTTCCCATTCTGTTGGTTGCTGATTCACTCTAATGACTGTTTCTTTTGCCATGCAGAAGCTGTGGAGTTTCATTAGGTCCCATTTGTCTATTTTGGCTTTTGTTGCCAATGCTTTTGGTGTTTTGGTCATGAAGTCCTTGCCTACTTCTATGTCCTGGATGGTTTTGCCTAGATTTTCTTCTAGGGTTTTTATGGTGCCAGTGCCTCTGCTTTTGAAATCTTGCTCAAGACATCTTTGCCCAGACCAATGTCCTCAAGCATTTTCACAGTGTTTTCTTTCAGCAGTTTCAATACAGTTTCAGGTCTTACATTTAAGCCTTTAACCTATCTTGTGTTTTTTTTTTTTTTTTTTTTTTTTTTTTTTTTTTTTGTATATGGTGAAGATAGGGGTCTAGTTTCATTCTTCTACATATGAATATTCAATTTCCCCAGCACTATTTATTGAACAGATTGTCCTTTCCCAAAGTATGTTCTTGGTACCTTTGTAGAAAATGGGTAACTATAAATGCATTGATTTATTTCTGGGTTCTTTATCCTGTGCCACTGGTGTACGAGTCTTTTAATGCCAACACTATGTTGTTTTGGTTACTATAGCTTTGTAGTATGTATGTATGTATGTATTTGAGATGGAGTCTCACTCTGTCACCCAGGCTGGAGTGCAGTGGCACAATCTTGGCTCACTGCAGCCTCTGCCTCCTGAGTTCAAGTGATTCTCCTGCCTCAGCCTCCCAAGTAGCTGGAATTACAGGCATGAGCCACCATGCCTGGCTAATTTTTGTGTTTTTAGTAGAGACAGGGTTTTTCCATGTTGGCCAGACTGGTCTAGAAATCCTGACCTCAAGTGATCTGCCTGCCTCAGCCTTTCAAAGTGCTGAGATTACAGGCATGAGCCACAGTGCCTGGCCATATTTATTACTCATTTTTTGTATATTTAGTGGGTACAAGTGCAGTTTTGTTCTATGGATATATTGCATCGTAGTGAAGTTTGGGCTTTTTGTGTATCCACCACTTGAACAGTGTACATTGTACCTAATAGGTAATTTTTCACCCCTCACTACACTCCCACCCTCCCACCTTTTAGAGTCTGCAGTGTCTATTATTCCACTCTCTATGTCCATATGTACCCATTGTTCAACTCCAACTTATAAGTAAGAATATGTGGCATTTGACTTTCTGCTTCTGAATTATTTCACTTAGGATAATAGGCTCAAGTTCCATCTGTGTTGCTGGGAAAGGCATTATTTATTTTTAATGGTTGAGTAGTATTCCATAGCCCACATTTTCTGTATCCAGTCATTCATGATGGACACTTAGGTTGATTTCATGACTTTTCTGTTGTGAAAAGTGATATGATAAACATACTAGTGCAGGTGTCTTTCGTATAATGATTTGTTTTCCTTTGGGGAGATACCGAGTACTGGATTGCTCTATCTAATGGTGGTTCTATTTTTAGCTCTTTGAGAAATCTACATAACATTTTCCATAGAGGTGTACTAATTTATATTTCCATCAACAGTCTCTGAGCATTCCCTTTCTTCTACATCTTCACTAACGTCTTTTTTTAATAGTAGCCATCCTGACTGGCGTAAGGTGGTATCTCCTTGTAGTTTTCATTTGCGTTTCTCTGATGATTAGTGATGTTGAGCACTTTTTCATGTTTGTTGGCAGTTTGTATGCCTCCTTTTGAAAAATTTCTGTTCATGTTTTTTGCCAGCTTTTAAATGGGATTATTTTTTCTTGTTGAGTTTCTTGTAGATTCTGAATATTAGTCCTTTGTCAGGTGCATAGTTTGTAAATATTTTCTCCCAATCTGTGGTTTGTCTATTTGCTCTGTTGATTATTTCTTTTGCTGTGCAGAAGGTTTTCAGTTTAATTAAGCCCCATTTATCTAATTTTTGTTGTATCTGCTTTCAAGGTCTTAGTCATAAAATCTTTACCTAGGTCAACGCCCAAAGGAGTTTTTCCTGGGTTTCCTTTTAGAATTTTTATTGTTTTAGGCCTTACATTTAAATCTTTAATTCATCTTGAATTAGCCTTGTATATGGCTGGTGGTAGGAATCCAGTTTCATTCTGCATTTTCCAATTTTCCCCAGCACCATTTACTGAATAAAATAAATGGGTGTGTTTTGCCTAGTGTTTGTTCTTGTGAATTTTGTTGAAGACCAGCTGGTTGTAGGTGTGTGGCTTTATTTCTGGATTTCTTATTCTTTTCCACTGATCTATGTATCTATTTTGGTATTAGTACCATGCTGTTTTTTTTTTACTTTTCTTTGTGGCCTTATAGTATAGTTTGAAGTCAGGTAATGTGATGCCTTCCACTTTTTTTTTCCCTTAGGATTGCTTTGGCTATTCAGGCTTTTTTTTGGTTTCATATGCATTTTAGGATTGTTTTTCTAGTTCTGTGAAAAATGAAATTGGTAATTTGATAGACATTGTACTGAATCTGTAGATTGCTTTGGGAAATATGGTAATTTTAACAATATTAATTCTTCCAATCCGTGAATATCGGCCAATTTTCCATTTTCTCTCTCAATTTCTTCCATTAGTGTTTTATAGTAGAGACTTTTCACCAGGAGGAAGTGGTGGTAGAAGGTGAAGGCGTGCCATGTGCAGAATCACGTGAGACAGCAGAAGCAAGAGTGCAAGGAGGGGAGTGTCAGACCCTTTTAAACATTCAGTTCTCATAGGAATTAAGTCTAAAAATTCAGTCATTACAGAGAGGATGGCATCACCCATTCATAAGGGGTTTGTCCTCATGACACAAATACTTCCTATTAGGCACCATCTCCACATTGGTTACAAATTTTGACATGACATTTGGAGGGAACAAACATCCAAACTTTATCATTTCATCTCAGGCCCGCCAAATCGTGGGTACTTCTCAACTTGAAAAATAAAATCACCCTTTCCTAATAGTCCCCCCAAAGTTTTGTTCCCATCATCAATTCATAA